CCACCCAGTAGGCTGCACCTACCCTAGCCTCACCCATCCAGCCCCCCAAGGGCAACCACAATGCTGATGCGGCCCTCAATGAAATTGAGTTTGACACCCCTGTCTTACCAGAATCCAGCTTCTCTTTCCTCATCTGTGGTGTCCCCATTTTATCTTATCTGTTTCTTTAACAACTGCAGTATTAATGCCTTTTCAAACTCTGCCTGCAAGCTAGCCCCCCCCCCCATCTATTTCCCCACTTATCTTCTGTTCTCCATGCCTAAGTCTGACCAGTACTGCTTCTCCTGGGAGAGTTCACCCAGAAAGGGGGGAGGGGACCTTGTTCTCATGTCTTTCAGCCCTGCACAGATGACCCCCACAACCTTTGGAAGTAGAGGTTCAACATGTAAAAAACAAGAAAAAAGTGAAGGAAATGATTGGTCCATTAGTGGGTGGAAGTGGCAAGAAGGTGACAAGCAACAGGGAGAAAGCAGAACTATTTAACTCATTTTTTGCATCTGTCTTTACACAAAGGGAAAAAACAGACCAACCTATCAAAAATAGTGCCACAAAAAACAAAACAGAAACACAAGTTAAGATAGGCAAGAAAATCGTTAGTGAGCACCTGTCCAGCCTAGATGAGTTCAAATCGCCAGGACCAGACGGATTACACCCCAGAGTTCTCAAGGAACTGGCAGATGTGATATCGGAGCCACTGAACTATATTTTTCAAAGATCCTGGAACACAGGGGAACTACCAGAGGACTGGAAAAGAGCTGATGTAGTTCCCATCCTCAAAAAAGGAAAAAAAATGGATCCAGGAAATTACAGACCTATCAGCCTGACCTCAATACCTGGGAAGATCCTGGAAAAGATAATCAAACAACGAATCAACGAACACCTAGAGGCAAACAAAGTCATTACTAAAAGCCAACATGGGTTTGTCAAAAATAGATCATGCCAGACAAATCTTATTGCATTCTTTGACCAAGTGACAAAATTAGTGGATCAGAGGAATGCTGTGGACATAATTTACTTGGACTTCAGTAAGGCATTTGATAAAGTAGATCACAACCTACTACTTGACAAGATAGAAAAATGTGGGGTAGACAGAACCACCACCAGATGGATCCGTAGCTGGCTGACCGGCCGTACTCAGCGAGTGGTCCTCAATGGAACTGCATCTATATGGAGGGAAGTGTGTAGTGGGGTGCCCCAGGGCTCTGTTCTGGGCCCAGTACTCTTCAACATCTTCATCAACGATTTGGATGAAGGGATAGATGGGGAACTCATCAAATTTGCAGATGACACCAAGCTGGCAGGAATAGCCAACACTCCAGAAGACAGGCTTCAGATACAGAAGGATCTGGACAGACTTGAACACTGGGCACTAACTAACAAAATGAAATTCAATGGTGAAAAAAGCAAGGTTCTACATTTAGGCAAGAAAAACCAAATGCACAAGTACAGCATAGGTGGCACCATGCTCAATAGTAGTAACTGTGAGAGGGACCTCGGAGTCCTAGTAGACAATCACTTAAATATGAGCCAGCAGTGTGCTGCAGCTGCCAAAAAGGCCAACACAGTGCTAGGCTGCATTAACAGAGGGATAGAATCAAGATCACGTGAAGTATTAATACCACTCTTCAATGCCTTGGTAAGGCCACACTTGGAATACTGCATCCAGTTTTGGTCACCACGATGTAAAAAAGATGTTGAGACTCTAGAAAGAGTACAGAGAAGAGCAACAAAGATGATTAGGGGACTGGAGGCTAAAACATATAAGGAACGGTTGCGAGAATTGGGTATGTCTAGTTTAACGAAGAGAAGGACAAGGGGGGACATGATAGCAGTATTCCAATATCTCAGGGGCTGCCATAAAGAAGAGGGAATTAAGCTATTTTCCAAAGCACCTGAAGGCAGGACAAGAAGCAACGGGTGGAAACTAATCAAGGAGAGAAGCAACCTAGAACTAAGGAGAAACTTCCTGACAGTGAGAACAATTAATCAGTGGAACAGCTTGCCTCCAGAAGCAGTAAATGCTCCAACACTGGAAGTTTTTAAGAAGAGACTGGACAGCCATTTGTCCGAAATAGCGTAGGGTTTCCTGCCCGAGCAGGGGGTTGGACTAGATGACCTCCAAGGTCCCTTCCAACTTTACTACTATTACTATTACTAGAGCACACTGACCCACACACTGCCTCCATCCATTTGAGCCAGAGAATGGGGTTTGAATCCAGCCATCCACTAGAAAGCTACCATGCAACCAGAGTGGAACAAATCTTCCCAAGTCCTACCATTCCCCCAGATGCCTTTGGAAAGCTGCAGAGAAAGGAGTCCTGGAGTCATTGGCCCCCATGTGAAGCCTCAGAAGACAACTGGGAAAACTATGGGGGGAGGGCAGAAACTCATTGTAAGGTTTTCTTTCTTGTCTCATTTGTATTGTAATAAGCCAATTGAATGTATTTATGGAGGGATGACATTTGGGAATGGTTGGCACAGCAAGTATTGAACACTTTGGCCTTCTATCTGGTGGGAAGAAAAATTGTCCAGGATGCTTGTATTGCCTGTTTTGTAGAAGTAGCTGCATGCACACACGCACACACACCATTCAGAATTACACTGAATCTATCCCCTTCACCTATCTTCAGTAAAGCTCCTTAGGCTGGTTCTTGCCCTGTGGCACTAAAGCTTTGTATGCACACTTTCCTGCAAATTCCAAGGGGGAGCGAACCAGGCCCCCTCAGGCGATTTACAATTCATATGCCCTGAGGAGGTAGCAGGAAAGAGATCTTCAAAACCCAAGCCCTGAATATGTTGCACTGGTAGACTCAGAGTGGGAGTCCTAGGGCTCACCCGTGTACAATTTAATAGCCTGGTTTCCACACTGGCTAACCTCAATTGGACATCACAAACCCTGGATGCCCTAAACTAAGAGCTAAGGCAGGAAACAACTCCTGAAAATGGGCAGCCAGTAATTATGTATTGAGGTAAAACATGACTGTGAAGAATTTTGGGAAGTATGTGCAGGCCTGACTTGGAAGGTTAAAGTGACATCCAACATCTGAAAAGAATTGGCACAGAATATTGGATACTATACATTTCTTTTCCACCTAACAGAACTTTTGCCCTGACTTTTAGACCTTTATGAGTTGGAAGCTCCCCTTTTGGGAGGCACTGCAGGGATCTTTTTCTGCTGCCTTCCCCTTTTTACACTAACAGTTTAAAAGCTTGTTTATCAAGTCTCCCTGACCAGATCAATTTTAATCTTGTGCCAGTAAAAGTGTGCCATCCAAGGGGGATTGTGGGAAGAATCCAGAGAAATACTTTGGGGAATATTAAAATATATTTCTCCAAAGGAATAATGGAGAAGATCTTTAAAAAGACAGAAACTTCTCCCTCCCCCCAGCCAGAAAACAGACTGGACCCTGAAGACTTTTCTTTCAACAATAAAATAAGATGTTCTACAAGGTAGTCTCGTATTCTATTTGTATATAAGAACAAAACTCAGTATCCCAAGGCAGTGATTTTAAGACAAGCTTACCAAATTAGATAACTGGAAAACTTATCAAAAGCCTTTAGGGTGGGAATCCCTGAGTTATCTTGATAAATCAGGGGACAAACCTTCCGTCAGCAATATTAAAACATGTCTAAACTATGTGGTATCAAGAATGTAGGCACTAGTCCATATCATCCTCTATCTATGGGGGGTGGGGGGGGAAACGATCAAGAGCATCCTGTCATACAGCATCACAGTCTGGTTTGGAAACATCACTGCTTCAGACAGGAAGGAGGTGCAGAGAGTGGTGAAAATGGCCAAAAAGATCATTGGCAGTTCCCTCCCTCCCATCCAGGACATAACACAGAAGCGCTGCTTGAGCAGGGTCTGTAAGATTATCTGGGACACTATGCATCCTCTTCACAACCTGTTTTCCTTGTTACCTTCTGGGAGGAGGCTTCGTGGTATCCAAAGCAGAATATCCAGATTCAGCCAGAGTTTCATTCCATACAGCATTAACCTTGTGAACTCTCAAGCTTCCTCCTTCCGTTATATATTCAAGATGGACAGCATTTAATATTTATTTGCTACGTATATGTATGGATGTGGGTCCATACATATGTTGTTCATAGAATGTTTAGGTGTGCGTCATGTATGTGTTTCACTTTGAGAGCGGGCAACTAAATTTCATTTTTGATGTGTGCCATTGTGCCCACAGTAAAAATGACAATAAAGGTTATTTTATCTTATCTTATCTTATCTTATCTCAAAGTTTCCTGCTGCCTAGCATCTGATTGAAGACCTCTTAGTGAAGCAGATCTTATCGTGTCTTTGGAGATTCTCAGTCCCAAAGATGATTTTTCAAGAGGCAACTGGACTTTCTTTGTTTTTCCTTTAAGACATTTTGCTTCTCATCCAATAAGCTTCTTTTCTTCTTCAATTCAGAATTTTATCACTTCTCTGATAATCAGTTCTTGCCAAAAGAAAGTCTTTGTAATGTTCAATGAAAAATTGCCTTTCTGCGGTCTATATACTTTATTTCATGTACTGTATTTTGGAGTGATGGAAAACATATATTGTTCAGTTGTTTGGGTTGATACGCAAGAAACAGGCTGCTCATACATTGGAGAATTATTTCCAAATAGTCTCAATATATAAATATTAGCAAGATTCAATCTCAGATCAGTCAAGGTATGCATGAAGGTGTGATGCCATCTAGCTGTTCCATCACAGAACCACATAAAAGTTTAATGAATTATCTTCCAACGGTGTGATCATAGGTTGCTATTGCCATCTTCTGAAATTTTTCAGACTTTCTGCTACAAGTATGAGATTTTTGATTCTCCCATTCAAATATTAACCGCGCCTGATTTTGTGCTTTTTTTTCCCAAGAAAAGAAACACTTTCCTTTTCAATAAGAAAATGAAATCAGTGATAAACTAAAATTTATTTAAGAAAAGGCTTCCACACCACAAAATCAAAATACTATATTAGATTATCCGAGATGCCCATAAGCACTCTACAATGTCACAACTTTTGCTTGCTTATAGCTTTCCCTCCATTGTATTCCTTGGACTAAGAAGACACCCCCTAAAAAGTCTTGACTTAAACCCCCTTTGTTGCATATTTGTGAGAGAAAAATCTCTGCAACCGGTTGTTCAGAATCCAACTGAGCTCAGTAGAAAATCAAAGCCAGGATACGTCCTTTGGATCACTAGGATCAATCACGAACTTTTTTTTTTTTTTTCCAAATCGATTTTCCCACTTCGGCGGCTTTCAGCGAGTACTGGGTTAGAAATTGCCTCGGCCTGATAAGGCGCTGCGCCCTCAGTAGGACGGCTATGCAAACCAAACAGATCTCCACAAAATAAAAAGCGCTGCCAAATCTCCGCACCTACCCCGCCTTCGGGGGAAAGAAAACCGGGACTCGCGCAACGATATCGGTGCAAGGCAGACACTGGGATTTTTCCCATTTCAGGCTCCCGACACGAGGAACAATCCCTGGGCGGAGAAGTCGGCACCGCCTCCTTCCTCTTTCTTCGGGCGAACATGGCTGCAGCCGCCGTCTGCTCGGCCGTGAAGGTAAGGCGCCGTTTGGCCGCCGTTTCGTCAAGCGGGAAAACCGCTCCGGTTCGCGCTCCCTCGGCTTTCCCCGTTTGGGGGAGCTTCTTGCCCCAACGGGCGGTTACCCCGGGGCTCCCGCGGCTCTGCAAAGAGGCGCCCGCGGGCCTCTGCACGAGAGAGAAGCTCCGAAGACCGAGTCGGTGCACCTTTCGCCGGCCTAAGCAGCAGCGCTTATCTCCGCCTGCGGCGGCGCCTGGGTTGTCTGGCGAGGCGGGAGGGGGTGCAGTAAGCTTCCGCTCGGCTGCAAACCGAGGAAGCCCGGCTGAACGCAGTAAGATTTACTGCAGATCAAAGGCGAGCAGGTGGGAGTTGTGTAAACGTTTGCCGTTGCGGGCTGGAGAGAGAAGAGCGCGTCCATCCCGGGGGGACAGGCGGGCGGCTGAGATAGTGGAACAAATCTAGTTCTCGAAAAGGGTTTCCAAGCTTGTCACCATGGTCTCCTACTATAAGTCCTTTCGGCTTTTTGCTCTGCTTGCTGGACTTCATTCGATCTCTTCCCCACCTCCTTTGATCCTTTTGTGGATGGGACATGAGGCAGGATTTTCTCCGATTTTCAGACGAAAAGCTAGGAGCTAGATCGTGGGGCTGCCGCCCTCCCTCAAGCACAATGCAACGGGCAGGGCTCCTGGTTTTTTTCCCCATCCTCCTAGAGTTTGGAGTTGGGGACCACCCAGGCTTTGTACTGGGCTTCCGAGGCTGCTCAGAAGCCTTGGAAAGGAATGCAGGTAAGTCCTCGACTTACAACAGATCGCTTAGTGACCGAAGTTACAACACCGAAAACAGTGACTTAAGACCATTTTTCACTTAACGACTGTTGAGCCATCCCCATGATCATGTGAGTTACGTTTGATTGCTTGGCGGCTGACTCCTATTTATGAGGGTTGCAGTGTTCCGGCGTCATGGGATCGATCCCCTTTTGCTATCTGACAAGCAAAGTCAGTGGGGAAACCAGATTCACTTAACAACCGTGTTACTAATTTAACAACTGCAGTGATTCGCTTAACAAATGTGGCAAAGAAAGTCGTAAAATGGGGCAAAACTCATATAACAAATTTGTCACTTGGCAACATAAATTTGGGGCTCAATTTTGGTAGTAAGTTGAGGACTACCGTGAGATTGAATTTTTCTCCCGCCATTCTGCTGATGCACAAAGCAGTTTTGAATAAAAACAAAAATGTTATACTGATACATAAAAGCTTAACAAGAACTAGCATCTACACCTGAACAGGCCTAAGCTTATGTGTGCTCAACTCTTGATGATTTGATGGACATGAATGTGTTATTTTGTTAGGTGCCCAATGGAAAGGTGTTGGCTGTTTTGAGATATGTATATATTTTAATTTTGCAGATTGGTACTTCTGATATTTTGTTATCTTTTAAGTGCTAGCCAGGTTCAACCCTAACCAAGTTCAACTCTGATTCATGGTCTGCAAGTTTTGCCTCATTTTGCGACCCTTTGCCACAGTTGTTAATTGAACCACTGCAGTTGTTAAGTGACTCATACAGTTGTTAAGCAAATCTGAATTCCCCCATTGACCTTGCTTGTTGAAAGCCAGGTGGGAAAGTTACAAATGGTGATCACATGACCCTGGAACAATGCAACTGTCATAAGTACATGCCAGTTGCCAAGTGCCCAAATTTTGATCATGTGATCGGGATGCTGCAGTGGTTCTAAGGGTGAAAAATCGTCATAAGTCACTTTTTTCAGTCAGTCACTAAAAACAAATGGGGTCAAAATGTCTTATATGGTATTACCTATTATCTGGAAGCTATTAAGTCACATGTTAGAAAATGTTTCTGTGAGTAAGACTCCATAGTAAAGTTGCTTATGTCTGGTTCACCCTTACATAATAGAAAAATATTACTTTGCCAAGCTCATGTCCTACAGTATAGGAGATGAATTACTGTATGGGAATTTTGAATCAGGGTTTACATAACTCTCATCTCCTCTGCCTATTGCTTTGGGGCTTTCTTGTTCAGCCAGCAGATTAACTATCAAATTCCCATTATGTAATAAGATGTCACACAGAATCCACGACAGATATCAAAAGGCCTTGCCTTCTGTCCTAACGTAAGCAAAATTCTAATGATATATAATGCCATAGGAACTATGTAGTTAAAAATAGAACAGGATATTTTAAAGACTTATGTAGGATCGATATGAAATAGGGCTTTTCCTTTTTTTAAAAAAAAAAAAGCATCTGTGCATCACAATCAATGGCTTCTTTACCAATTTGATTTTCAAGCAATGTTTTAGGGAATCTTGCCATTCTTAGAATTCTTCTCAGGGACCAGAAAAAGTAGCCTATCCTCCCTTAAAAGCAGTTTACTTACTGCTTTTTATCGTTCCTTATTACATGCAGTAGCAGAAGGTTATGTGTCTAAGTAAATTCACAAGTGGAAATTAGTGTGCTATAGGTGTACTTAACCTGGAGAAGCACGGTGCTAGAGAATCCAGGCAATATACAGAGTCAGTGACCAAACAAGGTGAGGGAGGGTAATTTCCGTATCTCAGGGTGGACAGTCTTTGGTTTGGGAGTTGCAAGCATGTGGCCAGTGATTTGAATTTGGGGGTTTTAGGCATGTCTCTCAGCCCAACCCACCTCACAGGGTTGCCGTTATGGGGGAAAGCTTTGTTTTTAAGTTGTGTTTTTAGCTTCTTGAGGAGCAGTTAAAATTAACTGATGTACTCCCAATTGTTTATTTTAGTCTGTTATTTTACTCCCAATTGTTTATTTTAGTCTGTTATTTTACTCGGTTCAGTTTATGCTTCTTTCATTTTCTTCCTTTATTATTGTAAGCCACCTAGGGTAGCCTCATGATAAGATAAGCAGCAAATAAATTTAAAAATAAATAAGGTTGAAGACCTGAACTAGTCAAAAACATGGGTTCTGGTTTGTCCTGAGAGGTATGCGTGTGGTGCTGTGGACTAAGGTTACCCATTCTGTCTCAGGCAGTAGAAAGATTCAGAAGCTGCTTCTCTAATGTTACGTATGAGCTTTCTCCAACCTTGATGCTTCTGAGATGTGTGATATTTGGGAATTGAAATCTACATATTTAGAATATGTCAGGTTTAGGAAAGACTGCATTAAAGGCTTCTAGAAGCACTGCCATTTTTGGAGTAGAGATTTCCTGTTCATCAGATGAAAACTTTACCAACGTTGCTAAATGTATGGGGTTGATTGGGCAATCTAGAACAAGAACAGAGATAAGGGGGCAGGTCTGTTCCCCCTTAGTGTTGTTGTTGGATTTGTTCTTCTGGGCTTCTGGCAGCTTACAAAGGGAATAAAGTGTGCTACTGTGCCTGTTTTGATACAAATACCCTGTAGAAACTCTTGATGGCCATCTGTTACTAGTACTTTTTCCATCTGTCCTCCATTAAGGATTAAGGAAGTTGCCTAAGGCGAAAGAGGTGTATTAGCCAGCCTTATCAAAATAAATAAAGCAATAAAGAAATTGTGATATTAGTGGTACATTTATGAAAAAAATATCCTTTTATCTTGTCTTCTAATCTATATTTCTTCCCTGGAAGATTGGAATTATCGGAGGGACTGGTCTGGACGATCCTGAGATATTAGAAGGTCGAGCAGAGAAATACATTGATACGCCATACGGAAAGGTGTGTATAAGTAACTAAGTCATGTTTGTTTTGTGCGTATATATAGTGTGTTAGGGAAAACACATGAGATTGAGCCGTATTTCCAAGAATTTCTCATAGGTTTCTATGAAAAAACACCCAGTACATTTGCAGCTTGATTGGATTTTTAAAATACCTTGATTAACACTTGGAAGGGTTGAATGAAGAAAGATAAGAAAGTCACAAAACAGTATAGTTCTTTGAATAATGTCCACCATGTGTCTTTGGGTGGCCAAATTATTTCTAATCTCCTGGCAAATGGCTCTGATTCCATGGCAGCTGACTGTGGATCCCTTAAATCAGCTCTTTACCTTGTGTACGCATGAAAGGCTTGTACATACTGGGTATATTTAGTGGGGGAGATGTATTCACAAAGTGTGACTTCATTTCAGATTTATTAGCTACTGTCCTCTTCATTAGTTACAAATATTTCTCACAGATTCAGAGCTAATCTCCATACTACTTATGGATGTTTTTTCCAGGGATGTTCTGTACTTTGAATTAGTCCCATAGTATTCACTAAGAAACCCAAGCAGTCAGGTCCCAGAATAGCCATTATTGATCAGTGGCTGGCTGCTATTGATTCTGCAGTTATAATATTCTGAAGAATGTACAAATGATTTTGCAATTGTTTTTGTATATCAAATATTGGCTGCAGCAAAGTCTATCAAAACCTATTGAGATTTATTTCTATGTGTGATTTAATGCGTAGGATTGTGGTCCATAATGGATTTCCACTTTGATCCTGCATTAGTGGTAAATTAGATTTTTGTGATTTGTTGGTGGAATTTTACGATGCCTCTGTAATATTTGTTTGTGCTGTTTTTTTAATTCCAGCCATCAGATGCACTGATTTCAGGAAAGATAAAAAACGTTGACTGTGTGCTTCTATCCAGGTAGGTGAAATTCCTTTAAAACACATGAATTAGAATTGCATTAGAAAATGTGATGTACCATTTATTGTAATCAAGCCAAACCTTCAAGCTTGCTAACAATGCAAATTGCACTGGCAACTGCTTGGCAGGCTACGGAGGAATTCTGCTAGAGCAGTGGTTCTCAACCTTTTTAATGCCGCAACCCCAACTGGTCGTAAGTCAAGGACTTTCCCTGCCCGGGAGCGCCGCGCATGTGTGGTGCCGCCCCCTGCGCCAGCTGAGGCGTAGCTGGCAAGCGGCAGAGACGGCGCAGGCCGACCACCGGCTGGGCCATCAGCTGGCCCAGCCCAAGGGAGGTAAGGCACCCGCCGGGCCCCACGCGCGCCAGCAACCCTCCCTGCGCCCGCTGGGCTCCCACCTCCCACCCCTGGCCCTCTTTTACTTACATTTTTAGTAGTTGCTCAGCAGGGAGGGGTAGAAACTTCCAGACAGCTCGCCTTCGCTGCAGACAACTTGCAGCACCGTTTGCAGAATGGGACTTTTGGTGGGCTCAGCAGGGCAGAGGCAGCCTGGACAATTCCTATTGGCTTTTGAAAGCCAATAGAATTAGACTCTATTCAAGAGAGACTATTCTATTGGCTTTCAAAAGCCAATAGAATAAAAGGGAGTAGCACAGCCAAGGAAAAGGGGAAAAAATGGCGGACTGCGTTGTTTGGCGACCCCTGTGAAATGGTCGTTCAACCCCAAATAGGGTCCCGACCCACAGGTTGAGAACCACTGTGCTAGAGTTTCCTTGTGCTATCATCTCTTCTTGCTTCCTAGATGCTCACCAATCAGGCGGCTGATAGAAGGCACAGTATGGGTGGTGGGAAGTAGCAACTTTCACAAGAAATTGCATAATCACCATGAATTGCCCATCTCAAGGTTGAGGATTATATCAGTTACTCATGAAATTCCTCTAAATATAGGATTATATACTTTATTGAACTGGGGATGCGATGGCTCAGTGGTTAAAGACATTGAGCTTGTCAGAAAGCTGACAGCCCTGGTTCAAGACTTGAGCGCCGTGCAACAGGGTGAGCACCAGTAACTTGCCCCAACCTAGTTCCGGCAACCTAACATCTGGTTTGCAAGGTGAGTAACATAGACAATCTGAAGATTCTGGATTGACCACTCTGAAAGATTTTCCTTGCTACCTTCCTTACTCAAAAAGCTGCTTTTTTTTCTGTGCTTCAAATTATAGCTGTAGCATCAAGCACTAATAAGTGAGCTCAGGGACTTTGACAAGGGGCCACCATGTTTAGATCCCAGTTTAAGTTCTCACCCTAGTCTTGGTGTTCAATATTCTGCTCAACTCACATTTGCATAAGGTTGAGATAATTTATCGGTAACTCCAGTGAAACTCAAAAGATCCTGAGAAAAGTGCTCTGGGGAATCATTTCCACAAATGATCAATGTAATTGCAATGAAATGAAATTGCTTTCTGAATGTGTCTATTGTCCTGTCACTCAAAAAGGCCAGATATGAACCTTTAACCTGAAAAGGTTTGAGCATCTTTAGTTAAATGGGTCAGAGCAAATCATGATTTGTTGTATTGATTCCTGATTGTAATGCAGATGTAACTGCCCAAATAGCTTGTCCGTTTGTTATTCTCCATTTTTATATTGTGTTTTTAGGTTTACCCAGATTCTTTTTTTCTTTCCCCAGGCATGGGAGACATCACTCTATCATGCCAACAAATATCAATTTCCGTGCCAACATGTGGGCACTAAAAGAAGAAGGTTGCACCCATCTACTAGTGACTACTGCCTGTGGTTCATTAAGAGAAGAGATTCAGCCCGGAGATCTCGTTATAATTGACCAGTTCATAGACCGGTAAGGGAGAAAAATCTAGTTCTCTGTAGAGCTAGAACTAAAGAAATAGAATTAAGTCTTAAATTGGCAAGAGGTTCTGCTACTTTGACATAACTCCAAAAATCAGCTTCTGTCAAATGCGTTAAGCTCTATTTTTAATCCGTAGTGGCAAGCGCGTTGTTTTATTCCAATAAGACAGCCAACCTCTCGTGCAGCAGCACATACGGGAAGAGGAGGAATGACCTCATGGGATTATAGGAAACTGCTGTGCAGTATTCCATATCACCATAGGATGATTCCTCCTCCCAGAAAAAAACCCCATCATGCTGACTGCCTTATTGAAAGACGTCTGTCCTCTTGCAGCATTGAAAAGAGATTGCACTACCTTCCTATTTGCCTTTTTCCTCCTCCTTAGAGAACAAAATGTCTCAGATAAGTCTATTCTGGTGAGATTCCCCAGCTCTTCTGCCAAGTTTGCAGAAAAGGAAAGTACAACAAGGGTAGAGAAGCAGGAGATAATCTATGGCTAGGAGGAAGGAGTAGGTGGAGAACAGAGGGAGCGAGGATGGAAGGTTTAAAAGCATCAAGCTGTTTTGCGTATATTTTGAAGTAATTGGGAAATTGACAAGATCCCCTCTTTTTTGCGAGCCGAGAGATGTATAGGATATTGTTCTGACCTCACACTGTCTCTTTAATTTACCGTTTTCCATAGATATATATATTTTAAAAAACCCTGACTCTTCTTAACTTACTGTTTTTCATAGATGTACCGTATTTTCCAGTGTATACGACGACTCAGCGTATAAGACGACCCCCAACTTCGGAGACGATTTGCATGCTTAGAATGTCGTCTTATATGCCGGAAAATACGGTAATTTATAAAAAAATATATGATGAATTATTATTAAGCCAAACACAAGGAAGATGTGTCATATGTCTCTTTAGGTTTGTCCATTTAGCTTTTAATATAGGTGATGGAGAGGAAGAAAAGTTTTCTGCATTTGTTTGAGACAACCTAGTTTTTTCAGCTAGCTTAGACCAGCATTTGAGTTACAATACAGACTGTTATGTTTTGATCAGTGGATTAAAGCACATTGATACCAACTCTTGATCTCTTTTTCCTCCCTTTATTTTTTCGCAAAACAAATTACTGTTGGAAGACAGCAAAAAGAAGGGGGAAAAAACAAAACGAAAAGTGCAATTGAGCTGTCAAATTTTATTTATTGCTCTGTAAAAACAATTATGGTATTTATTAAAAAATAGGAATGGATCTTAAATGTTCTTACAAAGCGAGCCGTTCTGTTATAAAAGCCCAGCTCCACAGTCAGACTTCAATGCCTGATTTCTTCTGCCATTGCCCACATACCCAGTTCATGCTTCTTGCAGTTGACACACAAACAGAAAAATAAAGTTGGAAGGGACCTTGAAGGTCTTCTAGTCCAACCTCCATATTCAAGCAGGAAACCCTATATCATTTCAAACAAATGTTTGCCCAGACTCTTGCTAAAAATGCCTTATGTTGGAGCATCCACAACTTCTGGAGGCAAGTCCTTCCATTGATTAATTATTCTAAGTGTCAGAAAATGTCTCCTTAGTTCTTGATTGCTTCTCTCCTTGATTACTTTCTATCCATTGCTTCTTGTCCTGCCTTCAGGTGCTTTGGAGTATAGGTTGACCCCCTCTTCTTTGTGGCAGCCCCTGAGATATTGGAACACTGCTATCATGTCTTCCCTAGTCCTTCTTTTCATTAGATTAAACATTCCCAATTTCTGCAACCGTTCTTCATATGTTTTAGCCTCCCGCCCCCTTTGTTGCTCTTTTCTGCACTCTTTCCAGAGTCTCACCATCTTTTTTACATCGTGGTGACCAGAACTGGATCCAGTATTCTAAGTGTGGCCTTACCAAGGCATTATAAAGTGGTAATAACACTTCACATGATCTTGATTCTATCCCTCTGTTAATGCAGCCTAGCACCGTGTCAGCTTGTTCGACAGCTGCTGCACACTACTGGCCCATATTAAAGTGATTGTCAAGATCCCTCTCACAGTTACTACTATTGAGTCAGGTACTATTTATACTATACCTGTTCATTTGGTTTTTCTTGCTTAAATGTAGAACCTTACTTTTTTCACCACTGAACCTGATTTTGTTAGATAGTGCCCAACGTTCAAGTCTCTCAAGATCCTCCTGTATTTTAAGCCTATCTTCTGGAGTGTTGGCTATTCATGCCAGCTTGGTGTCATCTGCAAGTTGACATATCCAGATCCATCTGTGTCAGGCCAAGCCCAAGAATGGCATAGTCACAAAAAATCCAGCCAAAATTCAGGTCTTGATTTGCTTATACCATATAGACAGAATCTTGCCAGGCTAAATCTATGCTACTCTCAACCCAGAGGGAGATAACCTGGGATATTCTAGGGAGTGGCTATCTTAAATCTCTTCTGCTTTCTTTAGTCCAACTCCAGGCTGTGTTGTCTCTGGTTGTGTGCCCCCATCCTTGGAATGTGCTCCCTCCTTCTTGGGACCACCTACTGCTTCACTGTATTCCATCGCAACACCTGTTCCTTCATATACACAATCCATCAGAATCTGTCATATTTTCTGCATGATCTTTTCCGAAAGTCACTAAGTCAACTGGCATCTTATATCACCAAAACAATCCTCTTTGTATGACCACAATGGAGCCAGAATTTGTGTTGCTAAGCAAGTTGTTAAGTGAGTTGTGCTCCACTTTACAACCTTTCCCATGGCTGTTAGCTGTTAAGTGAATCGTGTGGTTATTAAGTGCGCCTGACCAATGACTTTGCATGTGAAGTTGGTTGACATTTGGGTTGGAAGAAATGATTGGCGTAAATTTCCCAGGGTTTAGAATAGCTGGCAGAACTATTTATAATGGCTAAACTTCACAATATCCATTTTTAAAATCTCCTTTCTAAAAGCTACATTTCTGAGACTCTTTTCTCAACTGTTGCAAAAGCTACATTTTAAAGTGAAGTTGGTGGATTCTAGTTTAAAGATACACACCGCATCGCAAGAACTCTGTGCTGTGTTCTTGAGCATATGCAAGCAGTTGATTTAAACATAACTTCAGCCTCTCAAGAATCAAACCATGACCTGAACTAGTTGATTCCCGGGGAAAATGCTAGTTTCTGAAGAAGACTATGATCCAAGAGTAGCTGTAATCCAATTTGCTTATTGTCACAGCAAGAGTTATGCAGCTCTGTTAATAAAATAAACAATGCACCACGTTGGTTTTCTTACTGTATGAAGTACGGCCAAAATCTTCACTCTTCCCATCATCTTTGCTGCGGCTGTACATTGTGCCCCCTCCCTGATGCCCACCGCATGTTAGAACTGCAATTCCCAGAATCCTGGTCAGCATAGCCATTGCCAGAGAATTCTGGGAGTTTTAATCCTACTGGAGCAGACTATCATTGTATTACAAGTCTGCTATTTCTTGTATGTCTAATAGTTACTCAGAACTTTGCAGCAAAGCTATTGAAATGTCTCTCTCTTACTCTCTCTCTTACTCATTTAGCAGAGTCATTGGTCAAAAAGCCATTTCATATTGGCAGGGGTAATGTATGTATGTTCCTGTTCCCGGCGAATTGCATTATGAGTAGCCACCTGATCCCTTCCAGATGTTTGGAATGAATAACTCTTCCCATTCTTTGCCTTTGGTAATGATGACAGGGTTGGTGAGAGTTGACGTTCTGAAGTCTTGGCAGGATTGCATTGAGCCTGTTTTTAGCTATACTCTCTTTTTTTCCCCAGCCCATTTGCTGTGTATGTTCACAAATGTTTCAGCTGAATTTGGCTGATGAAATAGCATTCTGTGTGCATTTTTAAGGCATGACACGGTCTTGATATGTTTTTCTTGCCAGTTCTGGTTTACAAATTGAAAAGCATTTTGTTCCTTTCCCTTTTTTTTTTTTACTTCTGGTCTTCTAATCATCAGTTTTCTGTTTAAGGCCTCTTTCTATGTGTCTGTCCAAATACATTTCATTTTTTTCCCACCCCGAGAACAAACTGTAATTCTGTTACTGTGGTTGTCCGGTATAATTTAGGAAAGAAGAAGAGCAGTTATTACAATCTTTTCAGCAAGATGGATGTGGGTATGTTTTGTTTCCACAAAGCCTGGTTTCAGTTGGATGGTATGGTTTGCCCTGTTTCCCATTAATTTGCCTATGACAATATTATTTCTTCTAACATTAAGTCCTTGACTTCATTTAGTGATTGTTCGATTGTTTGAAGTTACAGTGGCACTGCAAAAAAGTGACTTATGACCGTTTTTCACACTTACGACCATTGCAGCATCCCCATGGTCACATGGTCAATATTCAGACGCTTGGCAACTGACTCGTATTTATGACCGTTGCCGTGTTCTGGGATCATGTGATCACCTTTTGCGACCTTCTAAAAAGCAAAGTCAATGTACTAAAGAAATTTGTACATTATTGAAGTCTGAATCAACCCAGCCGCCACGTTGCTTTACAAATATTTAAATGTAAAACTAGAAAATCAATAAAAAAATTTTTTTTAAAAAAAGCAAAGTCAATGGGGAAGCCATAGAATCCTAAACTTTTAACATTATTGTGTGATTTGTATCATCGTACATTAGCTATATTATATATTTTATATGCAGCCCAAGACAGTTCCTGTTTAATCAAGGCAAGCCAAAAGATCAGATACTCATGATTTACATCAAGGCTTAATACAAGTCTTCTCTGATTAGTATTTTTTTTTTCTTCGCAGGACAACAAAAAGGCATCTCACTTTCTATGACGGGACCAATTCCTGCCTCCCAGGAGTGTGCCATGTTTCTATGGCAGAACCTTTCTGTGCCAAAACAAGAGAAGTTAGTAGACCTTACATTATTGAAGTTAGTACAGGTAGTCCTCAACTTACAGCCATTTGTTTAGTAACCATTCAAGCCATTCAAAGTTACAACAACACGAGTGACTTATGACTGTTTTTCATACTTGTGACCATTGCCACATCGCTGCGGTCACGTGCTCAAAATTCAGACGCTTGGCGGCTGGTGTGTATTAAGGATGGTTGGAATTTCCCAGGGTTCATGTGATTCCCCTCTTGCGACCTTCTGACGAGGGAAGTAAATGGGGAAGCCAGATTTACTTAACAGCTGTGTTACTAACTTGATGACTACGGTGATTCATTTAAAAACTGTGGCCAGAAAGGTCATAAAATGGGGCAAATTCACTTAGCAGCTGTCTCACTTAGCAACAAAAAACATCAGGCTCAGTTGTGGTCGTAAGGCGAGGACTACCTGTCTGTGATTGAGCAATGAATATTTTCCACCATTTCCATTTTCCTACCATTCTGCTACTAACATATGCAGCTGGATGGATACTAGACAATGCATAAAGCCTCCCTCCTCTGCTTTACATAATAGTGCTAGATGAATTATCTTGTAATCTTGCACATGATTGAAAATTGCACTAAAGCTGCTTCTCCCTTTCGTTATTTGTCATGTCAGAAATTATAGCAGTGGATCGTTGGGCAGTCGGTAATCTCTAGGTCAGTGTTTCTCAACTTTGACACCTTTACCATGCATGGACTTCAACTCCCAGAATTTCCTTGCTAACATGCTGACTGGGGAATTCTGGGAGTTGAAGTCCACACATCAGAATGGTTGAGAAATACTGTAGTAAGTAATGCAAGGTCTTTATGGCTATAGTTCTCCCTGTCCCTTCCCCACTTGCCTAGCCTGATTTATTTCTTTATTTGGAAAATTTATATTGCCACCTGCTCACTCACAGTGACTCAAGGCGGCTTATAGAAAATAAAAACACAATATAAAAGAAAAAATAATAAAAAATTAAAATAATAAATAATAATAACCCCAACCCTGGAGACAACACACACTCACACCAGCCATTTAATGGGCTCCATCCTGCTCTGGGTTCCCCAGGCCCACTGGCAGAACCACGTCTTCAGGGCCTTCCGAAAGAGTTAGAGTGGAGGCCGGTCTCTGGAGAATGATGTTCCAGAGGGAGGGAGCCATTACAGAGAAGGCCTTTCTTCTGGGTCCAGCCAGATGTATCTCCTTGCCCAGGGGTAGGCAACCCAAAACACTCAAAAGAGCCACTTGGATCCATTTCCCATCGGAAACAAAACACTTTATATCATAAAGGTAAAAAGGATATATGCAGTGTTATCTTCATTGTAGATGTCAAAAGGGTCTCCTCCACTCAGTGTGTGTGTGTGTGTGTGTGTGTGTGTGTAAGAGAGAGAGAGAGAGAGAGAGAGAGAGGCACTTGCGCTTCCCCCCTCTCTCTCTCCCTCTCTCTCTCTCTTTCCCTCTCTCTCTCTCTTTCCCTTTCTCTTTCCTCTCTCTCTTTCTCTCCTTTCTCTCTCTCTCTCTTTCTCTCTCTCTCTCTCTTTCCCTCCCTCCCTCCTTCTCTCTCCCTCTCTCTCCCCCCCTCTCTTCCTCTCTCCGATCTTCTGCTCACCTGGCAAGCTGGCTTCAAGCTGTTCTGCAACAGGCAGCCTCTCTCCTACCTTTCCTGCTTCCTGCAGAGATGCAGCAAAGGGAGGAGCCCCGTCCAATAAGTTTGTCAGCTCGTCGAACAAGGTGAGGCCACTCTCTTTTTTACACACACACACACACAGAGAGAGAGAGAGAGAGAGAGAGAGAGAGAGAGAGAGAGAAGGGAAGCACAAGTGCCTCTCTCTGTCTGTCTCTCTCTCTGCAAATGGCAGAAGAGGCTGGGAGCCACAGTTTGCCTCCCTGCTCTAGTGGGTCGGGTAGATGTGACCCACGAGAGATGGTCCCTCAGATAACCTGGTCCCAAGCCATTAAGGGCTTTAAAGGTGACAACCAGCACCTTAGATTGCACCCAGAAGCAAATTGGCAACCAGTGCAGCTTCCGCAGGAGAGGTGACACGTGCACACTGAAGTCTGCACAAAAACCATGCTGACTGCTGCATTTTGCACCAACTGCAACTTCCAGATGCTTTTCAAGGGCAGCCCCATGTAGAGTGCGTTGCAATAGTCTAGATGGGAGGTGACTAGGGCATGAGTGTCCATGAGTAGGGATTATTACCCACATTGCAGGTGCTACCTTGTTTCTGCAAAATCCAGAAGTCTCTGGGGACAATCTAGAAGACTTGGGAACAGAAGCCAAGGCATTGCATTTGCTATCCTGTACTAAAAGGACCCTGTGGCCTTAAGCCTTGCAAGAATGAGTCTTAGGAAATAAAAGGCAGGGTAGTTGTAGGACATTCTCCATACAGAAATCAGAACATCCAAAATTAGCATCCTTAACCACTGACAGAAAGCGGATCCTCAGCCTTGAAGAAATAGCCTTGCGGAAAAATTAATCTCCATGATATAAGTCAGACGGGGACAAGCAAGCAGGGAGAGAACAGCTATTTTAACCTTCCCTCTTTCAGAATCCATATTTGTCAGAATTGCAATGTTTGGGGTGGGTTACCTTATCCTGGCTTATGCCATCAAGTGCTATAAAATAAACTGGATACATTTATCCATTTTTAGATTTTCAGCATCTTAGAACATAGTTCAACAAGCATTTTTTTAACTAGAAAATAAAAATAACATGAGAATTGCATTTGCTTGAAGAAATCTATGATGGTCTTGATCTGGGGTTATGTCAGCTCAATCTCCATGACCACAAGGGGTCCCAAGAGCCTTCCATATGTGCCCAGCATCAAATTCTCAAAGCCACAGAAATTGAAGAATGGGGAATAATGTTTACATTTCAACTGAATATAAATTCAGTCAACTTCTGTTTTTTTCTTAGTCCCAGCCCCTCGATTATTCTATTTCCTAACATATCGTTTCCCAGTCAAATGAGGCTGCTGTCGGCTTGACAAAAAAACAAGTATGCTCCCAGGGTAAATAAAACAATAACTTTTTTTTTTTAAGCATTAATTTGTTGCTGTTCTCAAGCTGTGCTTTTATACACTTGAGCATCGTTGCAGCTGCAGGAAAAAATGAAATAATAGAGATGATCTTGATATTCTGCATGAGATGTTAGTTAATATTCAGAGGGGGCTCAAATGACAGCCTCCCCCCCCCCCAGGGATACGTAGTGGTGGCTTTTTCATCTCCCTTAACGTTTTCAGGTTCTCCTGGATGTTGCCAAAAAGCTTGGAATCAAGTGTCACTCAAAGGGGACTGTAATTACAGTCGAGGGACCACGTTTTAGTTCTCGGGCTGAAAGCTTGATGTTTCGCAGCTGGGGAGCTGATGTTATCAATATGACGACAGTCCCAGAAGTCATTCTGGCAAAGGAGGCGGGAATCTGCTATGCGAGCATTGCCATGGCAACCGATTACGACTGCTGGAAAGAACATGAAGAAACGGTGAGTGGAAGTTGCTGTTTTCTTTGGGGGATATGTTTTTCAGGAGTATAGACACAAAAATTGGAACGGTACTACTTGCCAAATCTCTTGGCTAAGCTATCCATTTTCTGCATGTCGTTTTTATATGAATCCCTCCCCCCCCAAAAAAAGATGGAAAAATTACAAACACTGTCAATCTTTGTGGGGCTCAGTTTCTTCCCCACTCATCAGCCGCCAGCTTCTTGGATGTGAGAAGAAATGAGTGCCTGTGACATACCTGTAAATATACATGCATATGTTCGTGTATGTGTATGATTGTGTATTTATGCTTGCTACAAGCCATAAAAGAGCAGGGCCAGAATGCAAACATTAATGAAACTAAAAGCAACCAATTAAAATGAATCACCTCATTTATCCCTATCTGCATATTTCAGGAATTCTAGCTCTCATACAGTCTGCAAAACGTTAGGGTTTGAACAGGGAAAAATAGACTCAATCCAACTCAACCTAACCAAGGTAGAAAGGCTGACTCAATGCAGGGTTGTTTCATATTTGACTGGGTTTTGCACAGCCTCAGCTGGTGTGCCAGTTCTGGCCTTCCCTGGTATAGGATGTGTTGAAGATGGCCACTCATGCGTTTGTTATTGAGAGATAACGAAGGAATGAGTGGCCATCTTCAATGCATTTTATACCAGGTAAGGCTACAACTGGCACACCAGGTGAGGCTGTGAAAATACCCAGTCAAATACGGAACAACCATATTGGATTACAGTAGGGTAGGGTAAGGTACAGTACTGTACCTTACTGTGGGTCTTCCCTTCAGCTGGTCCCAAACACGTACATGTTTAGCAGCAGTTAGTTGCAGAACTGCCATGTTACATGCCTGCTGCACAAACTCTGCTCGTTCATTGTAAGGTTCCAAGTGCAATTCAAGGTGCTGATTTCCAATTAAAGGCCAAATAGCATGAGGCCTGGATGGCTTTGGGACTGCTTTTCCTCAGTAGCTTCTGCCTGTTCCACTGAGACAAGTTAAGTAGTGCTTGATAAGGGTCTTCATCTATTAGGAGGTACAGCTTAAGGCAATGGGAGAATCTCTCTCTCTCTCTGTGTGTGTGTGTATGTGTGTTTATACATGTATGGATTTTTTTGTACAGTAAAAGTATACAAAGAAAAGATAGTATGATAAAGGGAATGAAAAGAGAAGAAAACATACAGTTATGCCTTCCCCCCTACTTTTTATAAGTTTTACCCAAACAATCAATTCAGTCTTTTCATCTTTCAACAAAAAGTTAATAAAAGGTTTTGCTGTTTGTTTGTTTGTTTAAAAAAACTTTTTCCCCCGGACTAGACTGGTCAATTTCATCAGTTCTGTAAATTCAGTTAATCTTATATTAAAATAAGTTATAAAGCCCTACCATAAAAGCTGTTCACTATTGTTACTGTTGCTTGAATGATCCTGTGTTTAATTGGCTGATCACGCCTGTAAAGCAAACATGTCAAACTCGTGACATCGCGCAACGTATCGGGACTGTTTTGCCATTGCCGGCAATGGGGTGGGCGCGGCTTCCACGTGACGCATGCAGGCTGGCAGTTTGACACTCCTGCTGTAAAGGGAATTCCCAATCAAAAAGAGAAGTTGCTATATTTTGAACACAATGTTTGCCAATGAGTCTTGCTGCTTGAGAGATACTTTCCTAGATAGTCTGATTGCTTCCTCGGAGATATATAGTCAGTAAAATTCCAGATGTTTTACATAACAGTGGTGATGGATGCTGGGAATTGTAGTTCAGCATTATTGGTAACATCTTAATTTATAAACTTTAGTGATGACTCATTCTCCAAATGTACGTACATTTGTAGCCACAGGAGGGAGGTAGTGCAAATAATCCAGAAAGAAAAATATCTGTCTGGTGGGAGGAGGACTTTTAAAAAAAAAAAAAACATTAACAAAATATCCAAAGGAAAATTGACTTAATGGCTGCAGAATACCCACCTATAATTAGGAGAACAGAAATGAAAAATCAATGGAAATGGAGTTATCAAACTAGCTAGGAGTATTCCAGACTCTAAAATTTGTGTCACCCTCAGCTCTCTCTCAAACAGCTGTGGATAATTTTAGGCAATCGGTCTCTTTCACAGCTGAAATTAAATTTGGAGGGGAGTGTGAAAGTGCTGAATTGCTGCCGGTAAAGCAGTTTTAATTCTATCTCCATGGTACTCAGGACCAGGAAATATGAGTGGTCTACATACGCTCTTTTGTCCATTGTCCACAGTTAATAATATGATGATCACTGCCCATGTTTTCTACATTTTGTTTTCCTGTGATCCTTTTCTGGGTGCATGCATCTGCAAATCACTGATAAAGTTGATTTTTTTCTAAAAAAAAAAAAAACTAGTCTTGTAAATCTGTCAGTCTTTAAGATTTCATATGGGTGAGGGATAGGGTCCTTAACATAACTAATATTTTTGCTAACCCAGCTATTTATTTTGAAATAATTTCACTGGTAAAGTGACATGGGCAAGTTATTGTCAACCCTATATTTGTAATATAATGATAACACGAACTATTTTGTAGGGTTTTAGTAAATATAGTAAAGATCTTAAATGTGCTAAAATTGCAAGTGGACGTCTTTTGAGTTCCATTTGAGAAATCTATAATTGAAAAATTGTAGGTGATTTATTCACTAGGAAAATGTTAACGGACTTCATTCAGTTAATTTACGGGGGGAGGGGGGGTCAAATATGAGTGGAGTTTAAATAGACCACGAGGCTATAGATTTTATTTGTGCAAAAGATATAGGGAAGATCACATAGCTTATAATTCAACTATGGTAAATCATGTTAAAGATAAAATTGTCATTACAATGTACATAAAGCTTTGTGCTGGGGGGGGGGGAGCTAGCAGAGTCCTTTATTAACAATTGGGCTAAAAGCAAAGAATCCCTTCCTGGTTTTCAGTGTGTTTTGCCAAGGAGATCACAACTAAGTCTAAGCATCTGAAAATGGTGTTAACCATCTAGATCAGAGGTCCCCAACCTTTTGGGCACCAGGGACCAGTTCTGTGGAGAGAGGTTTTTCCGTGGACCGGAGGGGGCGTGGCTTTATGTGCTGCCTGCATCCCGTGGATGGGGCTTTGCTTGTTGGTGCGGCCCAGTTGCTGGCATGCCACGAACCGGGAGTTGGGGACCCCTGTTATAGATAAATTATGGAAGAATTTTGTGATTCCTTTTGAATAGTAATTATAGCTTTCAAGAAGCAATAATCTATCTAGGCATAGAGGAGAGACAGAAAAATCTACTCTTCGTTTTTTAAATCTTTTTTTTTTTTTAATCCCAGGACTTTTTTAGCCTTTACTTACAGATACATTTGGAAGTAGTCCTTGACTTAGGACCACAAGTGAGACCAGAATTTCCATCACTAAGCAACGAGGTTGCTAAGTGAGTTGTACAAGGTTTTACCTTACCATGGTTGTTAAGCAAATCATGTGGTTATTAAGCAAATCCAGCTTTCCCCATTGAGTTTGCTTGTTGGAAACCCCCTGGGATGACTCGGGATGCTGCAGTTGTTGTAAATATATGCCATTTGCCAGGTGCTGAAATTTTGATCATGTGACCCATGAGGTAAGTATTGGTCATAAGCCATTTTTTCAGCACCATTTTAACTTTGACCTGCCATTAAATGAATGGTCATATATGAAGGACTACCTGTACACATTTTCCTGTATATTTATTTTAATGTATTAAATTTGTTTTGTACGTACTCATACAAGGCAACATATATATAAATGAAGATTGTGTGTGTGTGTGTGTGTGTAATGATTGTCTTGTTCTTGTAGGTCTCAGTAGACAGAGTTTTGAAGACCCTGAAGGAGAACGCAAACAAAGCAACTAGTTTGCTACTCACTGCCATACCACAGGTTGGATCCATGGAATGGTCAGAAACCCATCAGAACTTGAAAGTAATTTGGTGTTTCTATTTAATTTATTATTTAGGAATATGTGTTTTTTTTAAAAAAAAAAATGCTTCCACGGTACTTTTAATGAGAGAAGGCCTATCCCTGCCCATCCCAAGTCGAGCTTACATTGAAAAGCTCCAATGCAATAAGTACTAACTACAGTTGATACAGTACAGGTAATCTGCAACTTAATAACCACAATTGAGCCCAACAGTTTTGTTGCTAAGTGAGACAGCTGTTAAGTAAATTTTGCCCCGTTTTATGACCTTCCTTGCCACAGTTGTTAAGTGAGTCATTTCAGTCGTTTGTAATGCAGTTAGTTGAATCTAGCTTGTCCATTGACTGCTTGTCAGAAGGCCACAAAACTATGGCTCTTATATGTTGTTAAAGTTTTAATCCCAGGTCATTAACCAATGGTAAGACATGCCAAGATGTACTGCAGCAACATCTGGGAAATCACAAGTTTCCCTTCTGTATTCTAAAAGAGAGAGAGAGGCAAGTGTGATTAATATTTTATTTTCTTCCCTATGTAAGAAGAAATGTTGTAGATTTGGAACACAAAATATGGTATTTTTTAGAGAGAAAACACACCTTAGTTGACCTCTTTCCTTACAGATAGTCCTCGACTTACAACCACAATTGAGCCCAAAATTTCTGTTGCTGAACACTTAACTTAAATTGGTCACTAAACAAACTCGCAAGTCGAAATCTATCTGTATTTGTTTCTGATTCATAATAACAATGACGTAAAACACTAATATTGTGATGTATAAAGCAGGATTCAGGCAACAAAGCCTTCAGGTGTTGAAGTGAATTAAGGCTCTTATTTGACATCTCATAACTTTTGTGCATAGTTTTGTTATCTTTTACCAAAAATCTGTTGCTATTTTGTAATGCTTTTATTCAGATAGGTCGTAACTTCTGTATAATAATTACAAACCTTAAAATAATTGTTTCTTAATACAGCTTCCCCCCCCTTGTTCTGATTCTTGTATTTCAGAATACTGTGCAGTTATCCGTTATGCTACCAAAACATTGAAAACTTAGCAAGATACAGTGCTTGAAGATCAGAAGATAGGCGTGTTTACTTTTAAAGAATGCCTTTAATGGATGCAGCATTTTTCATTCCCATCTGCTAATATGCTTCTTTTGGAATAAGATCTTGCAAAGGCTGAAGAACATTCACAGCAGATTTGAAAAGTAATTAATTCTTAAAATTGACATTTCAGACTGTGAACACAATAGCTGGTACTTGATAATCATGCTCCACTGATGTGAAAGAGGCAAAAAAAAAAGGTTATAACCTCTAGCTCAAATATTAGATCATAACTCAATTCAAACATGGCAAAGCTATAACAAGGTATGTTTATATGCCCTTGCTCACCCTCAAATGACCACCCCCAGAGTGGTTGTAGTAGTAGATTGCCATTCAATAGCATTTTTATAATGCAAAAAATGGTTTTGAATGGAGATTAAATGCATTTTTATTATGCTTTTTAATAGAAAATTACTGTCTTTTTTTAAAAATAAGAGCAATTACAGGTTGCACTTTTTTGTTTTAAAGATTTCCTGGCTAAGATTTTCCAAAGTGATATGATACGGTTTTTATGTCTTTAGCCTATTGTTAAGAAAATATTTGCTTTTATTACTAATGTCAGATCTGTTTTCTTTTGTGTTTTCAGTTTAGTATGCTGGATTTCATGAATTGCTGGATTTGTTTTCTTTTTACATGTTTTTTAAAGAGTTATGTAGCAGATAAGTAGACTAGTTGATTTATTATTTTTTTAGTTGAATGGCTTGGGGGGGGGTTGGACAGCAAAAGGATACGTGGGTTTTGTGTGGTAAAGAATAACAGACATTTAAAGACCACAAAGGACTCAATCATGTGTTCCCTCAGTTGCTAATAGTGAGTGTTAAGCAACTCCATTTCCGTTAGAAGTTTTCTGGGGCCCTCATGGCTGTGGTAGCTTCTCCAAACCAAGGACACTATGTCACGTCAGAAAAAATGCTGTAAGTTTTGCAATCACCTTTTATTGAAGACTCCAATACACCATTTACTTCTAGCAAAGGCAGCAGAATAACGGAATCTAGATTGGTGATGTTTCTGAGAATTTGCAAGGCATCACAATCCTGTTGTTATGGTTCCGGCTAATGAAACACTTTAAAGAACTTCCAGGCATTTATTTTCCTAAAAGTCATTGATTGTTACAAAATGTCGGCACATGCATAACACCTGTTTGAACAATTACATAGTACAGTCTTGGAAACAATTCGGTACCAAGTCATCCAAGACTCGTGTTTAGCTTTTTCCTAAATATTTTGAAGTGTGAAAGGTGAAGAAAAACTGTGATGTCTCTAAAGGACATATTCACATTGTTTGGAATGGTGCTGCTGAATGCTTACAATAATAGTATACTGTCATATCCTTGCAAATTATGCAAGGATATGACAAGTTAGTTCTGTATGTTAAACACCCCTTTTTCTTTTTAAGAAAGGATGCAATGCTGCTTTTCTCAAATAAAACTCAATGTAACCTCTTCTGTGTCTTACTTGTTTGAAACAAGGCATGCTTACCCCTAGGTATTCTTTAGGTTGCTCTGAATGAGCAGAAAATGGTTTTATTGATGGAGGCTTATCAATCTCTTCTATAGTCATTTAAGAGTTTCAGTGATTTATCTGCAGTTATTTTTTAAGTGAGACACTCTGGTTTTGCTTTTTACTACACTTTTTTGATTTGTAGCAGGCTGCCAAAATAGATATTTTTTTGTCGGAAGGACACGAACTCATTATTTGCATGGGTTCTGGAAGCTGCCTGTCCTTTTGCTTGTAACTTTGTGATTTGATATTGAATTTAAAGTAGAAAGTTTAAAGAGCTGGATTCATTTCTTTTATTCCTTTTTGTAATGATGACCAGGAAGCCTATCTGGGGCTTTCGGCTTCTGAAGATTGTCATTGACATGTCATTGGTCCAAATGAATTATCATATTTTTCACAGACTGCTGTCCACATAAGATAGTTGATAGCATCTCCTTGTACCACGTGAGTGTAATTCTCTGGACTCATGGGTTCTGTAGTATTAACAAGCAGTCCAGAATCCAACGGTCAACGTGTATCCAAACCTACCAATTGAACATTAAATGCCAAAGCCAGCATATTATTCAGCAGCCATTTTCTTTGCTATACTCATGACCACAATCAGGACCAGATTTTCCATTGCTAAGCACGGTAGTTCAGTGGGTCACCCTCATACCTGATTTTATAATGTTTTCTTTTTTTGCCACGGTTGTCAAAACAAATCGGTGCAGTTGTTAAAGTGAATTGTGTGATTTTTAAGCAAATCCGGCTTCTCCCCATTGACTTTGCTTGTTGGAAGCCAACTGAGAAAGTCACAAATGCCAATCAGATGACCCTGGGATGCCTGCAATCATTGTAAATGCATGCCAAGCACCTGAATTTTGATCACATGGCCATGGGGGGGTGATGCAATGGTCGTACGTGTGAGGACTGATTATAAACCGCTTTTTTCAGTGGTTTAGTAACTTTGACTGATCACTAAACAAATGAGCTATAAGTTGAGGCCTACTTGTATTAGAGCTCCTTCTAGTAACAACAGTGCAAGTAGATATAATGACTATAATATTGTCACAACCTATTCACACAGGTACTGCTAGGATGGAATCCTTGGTGTGGTTTTCAATCAGATCCCTCAGCCAGGAGGGACCTTGGAGGTCCAATCCCCTTCTCAAGCAAAAGACCCTATACCAGTGGTGGCGAACCTATGGCATGGGTGCCAGAGGCGGCACTCGGAGTCCTCTCTGTGGGCACACGTGCCGTTGCCCCAGCCTTGCCTCCCCCCGTGAACCCCTCCTCACCAGCAGCCCCCATGGAAGAGAGTCGACCCCAAGCATGGCCCACGCAGAGCAGTGCAGCCAAGGACATGGCAGCCAGGCAGCGTAGGCAAGACTCTGCCCTGACACACCATCATGCACAGTTGATGCTGCAGGGTACGGGCAGAGGGCATGGCCACCAATGGCGCTGCTGGGTGATCTGCAGCGGGCCCTGGAGGCGGTGAGTGGCTCTGCGGGCAGGAGGGGCAGGGGCGGAGCGGGGACAGGGCCAGTTTTTGGGCACTCAGTCTCTAAAAGGTTCGCCATCACTGTCCTATTCCATTTCAAACCTCCAGTGATGAAGCACCCACAACTTCTGAAGGCAAGCCGTTCCAATGGTTAATTGTTCTCACTGTTAGGAACTTTCTCCTTAATTCCAAGTTGCTTCTCTCCTTGTTTCTTGTCTTGCCTTCTGGTGATTTTGGCGAGATACCCAAGTAGAGAGAGTTTCCAATTGGGGAGGTGGCAAGCTGAAGTTGGACAGAAGCATCCCCTTAACTACCATATTTCTGCCATAGTTTAGGAACTGTCCTATCCAGACGGTTGGGGTTTCATCAGCAGTAATCGGAATGCTAGGATGGCCTGGCTGACTGATGAGAACATGCCCAACAGTTGGGTTGTTACTAATAGCTGAGGTGACATTTAAAGATGCTAGCCACAAGTTCATTCCTCCATTTTCCACCCCACTCCCAAAATCTCAAGTCTCTGTGCTTTACAACCGAATTGGGAACAACAGGAAAAACATCCTGTCCAGATCACTTTAGCAATGAATTCAATAGCCATGACACTAAATGATAGTTGGAGCTTGTTGTTAGTCGTTCGTCGAACAAAGTTTTCCTTTGCCTGGGAAAGGAAGAGGGGAACTTTATGGGGTTTTTTTTTTTTTTTTGACCTATTGTATTCACCATGTAAGGCCAGCATACTTAATAATTTGTTGGTGCAGTCCAGGAGTGTCAAACTGCTGGCCCGCGGGCCAGTTGCATCATGCGGAGGCCGTGCCCATCCCAGCTCCAGCAATGCAAAAAAAAGTTACAATACGTCATGACACATCACATGATGCAGCAAGTTTGACACCCTTGGTTAGTCAATAACAAAGACTTTTTCACCTAGGATTTTCCACTGGTGTATTTTAATAATTCCCCCTCCCTTTACTGTCTGTCACTTTGTATATAGCCTCGTATTTTCTGCTGATGAAGGAGAATAATGAAGCTTGCAGTCAAGAAGAAATCCATCATCCACAAAGCTGGATCTGGTTTTATTACTGAACTATTCAGTGGAGTGTTCATAGTTATTCCATAATGACCTCATGGAATGTTAGCCCTAATATCCCACTTGGTTAATTACAAATATACTCATTAAGGCTAATGGCCAGGCACCTGGCCAGGACAGAGTACAATCTTGGGTGATTGGCCCATTTATTTTTCAAGACCCCATTTGTTTCATCAGAAGAATGGACTGTGGGCAGAAAGTTCATGGAGCCTTAAGATTTAAATTCAAGGATTTTCCTAAGGCAGAAATGATATTGATGAAGTGGGTTCCACAGCCAAAGGATAAGTGGAAGATCCCATACTTAAGGACCAGATGATGTAATAAAACTTTAGCCACTGCCATGGCATCAGTCTTCCATATAGGAAAGGCTTCCATTCCTTTAGAAAGCACAACCACACAAACATATTTGTAGCCTCTTGATGATATCAATTTCATAAAACCCAATTATAGGTTCCCCAAAGGGCCAAGCAGGATAGCCCAATCCGTGTGGAGGAAGTCCCAAATTACTGCCTGCATTATTTGTTAGGCATAGAGCACAAATAATAGTCACGGCCATAATGGCCTAATTTAACCCTGGTGCAAAGCAAAGGACTGAATTTGATGCTATATGCGTTAATCATGCCATCTAGAGACACCCACAGGCCTATTTGTGAATGTCCACACCACAGTCAAATGTCTTTTCTTCCTTTTCCACTAATCATTGAAACTGAGTGATTTTTTTGCAGTGTAAGAGGGGAAAGCACAAAATAATTAATGGCTGCTTTCAGTCTCTGCCAGGGCAGCTTAGTTCCTGTACCATTGCTAGAATGTCCCATTATCCTAACAATTGACATAGCAAAAAGCAGAGGATAAAGAATTCTGAACTGCTTATGCTTCCCCTGTGTTTAAAAACCTGCTGCAGTAAAAGGCGAAAGATTTATACGATCTGAAGAGAAACCAGAGTAATTACGGCAGCCAGGATTGTGTTTGCACAAAATTGGAAAGCACTGAAAGCCCCCCTCCCCCCCCCTCAGGGAGAGGTGATTGGGAAAACACTGGATTGTGCAGAAATGAATAGACTAACAATGACAATTAAAGATAAGACAGAGTCAGACTACTATGAAATCTGGGGAACTTTTTATGATTGGCTGAAAAGAGAATACGGTTAAAAGATAGTTAACATCAATTTAGATGGAAGAAGAAGGAGCAAATAAGGAGGGAGACCCAGGCAACACAGTAACTGAATAACTGGAGGTTGTATAAATATTTATAGAAGTATATAGCGAGAAGGTTAGGTAAATAGAAATATCAATGTAAGAGAAAATTAATCTTATTATATATAATACAGATAGGGAAATTTGGAGAGAGGAGTTGCTTGGACATTACCCCTGAATTGTATCTGAAGAGGGATGAGAAGGAAGAAAGGAGAGGAGAGAGAAAAGAGTAAAGGAGGGGAGAAGAAAGTAGGAAGGTTGGAGAAGAAGAGAAGTGGGGAAAAAGAGGAGGAGAGTGGTGAAGGAAAGAGAAGAGGAGAAGAAGAGGGAAGTAGGGAAGAGAAGAAAGGGAGAAAGAAGGTAGAGAAGAAGGAGTGTGGATACAGTGAAAGGGGGAATGGGTGAGCAACACCAAAAGTCATGTGTATGTATTTATTTCATTTTATTAAAAGTATCTTATATATGAATGTAAAAAGAATGTATGTTAACATCTGATAAATATCACAGTATATGTATGGGGGAGAGTTTGGAAAAATAAAAAATTATTTAAAAAAAAAACCTGCTGCAGTCAAATACTGGCTTTCCTTCCACAATGGCCCATAGTCATAAACAATGCCAGTTCATTGAGAGCCAGTTTGGTGTAGCGATTAAGGTGCTAGCCTAGAAACCAGGAGATGGTGAGTTCTAGTCTGACCTTAGGCACAAAAGCCATCTGGGTAACTTTGGGCTGGTCATTCTCTCTCACCTCATCAGGGTTCTTGTTAAGAAAACAGGAGAAAAGAATCTGAGGTATGTTCATCATTTGGTGACCTGCAACACCAGGTTATCATGGAAAAATGTCTGCTTAAGTAAAGAGCTCAAGTATTTGGACAGAGGTGTAACAAATCAACTTTAATTGACATGCCACTGATAATAAATTACCTGGCTACTTGTAAAAATAACACAGGAGACTCCAAGACCCACAAGATTACAATCTATTCTATATATACCCTCTGAAATGATTCATTGGACATACAGGCAATATACACTACAAGAGCTTAAGTCCTGGGGAAAAGAGAAAGACTTAAAAAGTGTGTATATATATATATATATATATTATATATATATATATATATATATATATATATATATATATTATATATATATATATATATATATATATATATATATAGTTAAAATAAGAAAACA